ATAAAACAAACACAACTAATAAAAAGTTAACATCAAACCTCTTTTCAATCGCAATACTCACAAACAAATAAAACTTGATTTGAATCTTTGGATTTTGAAACTTTTTCTTCGTCACCCAAGATGCCTCTTCTCAAGAAACCTCTTCTTCTACATCATCTCCTCCTTAATGCAAACTGAAATAACAAAGAAAAAGCACTAAAACAGCTGGTTTACTAGTACTAAAAAATAACATTTCTACATATGTTCTTGCAACCATTGCTGAACAGGTCATAATGTGCCGATTCCCAAGTCAGGCAGGTGTCTGGAAACAAGTAATCTCTGAAGGACAGAAAATGATCCCTATTGTCTCCAGATTGATGGTAAAAATTGCAAGGGCAAGAGTATCAAATAGTTCTGCTGAAAAATATGATAACTGAATTCAAACTTGGTATTTTTAAATGTGAGTGGGTTTGTCATGCCCATTCACAAGGAACAACATCAATTAATTAATGAATACAATTCTTGGGTAAATACTTGCATGATAATCTGTGACACTTCGGACGTAATTACTGGTCGTTTGCATTGGATTGATACCAGAGTGGACCAGCATTCTGGTTCTAGCATGCAACTTCATATACTACAAATGGGCAAATGCTTGGTTCTATTTGCAAAACTACAATGAATTGTCCTTTGATGAACTGTATACCCTAGTCATCATGATAAAATTCAAGAAGGCAGCAAAGTGTTTAAAGACAAATTGGCGAATAGAGGAGTCATTAATTGACAGTCACAGATCTAAAGTTGCTGAGCGTGCTGTAAAACTGATGGAGGAACTTCATCAGTATCAAGAAAAATTTTTTGAATTTGAATAAATCTTCTGAGTAATACTAAAAAAAAAACTTGTCCTTTTTTTTTTAAAAAAAAATTATACTTTTTTTCACACACACACACACACACACACTGTGGATGATGTTTGAACTACGTATCCTTTGTTTTTGAGGTAAGTGTATATAATGAAAGGTAAGTGTATATAATGAATATATATATATATATATATAAATATATATATATATATATATATATATATATATATATATATATATATATATATATATATATATATATATATATATATATATATATATATATATATATATATATATATATATATATATATATATATATATATATATTTATATACACTACTATCCATAAGCTTAATTGCACTTAAGTATCTTAAATTCAAAACATTTTAAAGAAAAAAAAAATTAGCCAGTACAGACAAATTTACGCAAAGGTAAGTTTAATTATGTTATGAAGTTAGATATTTTAAAAAATACACCAATGCTAACTTAGAAGTACAGTAAAAATAATAGCCTTTGATAATAATAACATTAAACAGTATAAACAAGAAAATTTGTTTGTTTATTTTAGAAGTTAGTTATGTGTCATCCGATACCACCCAATTCTTTATTAATATTAATGACTGTTCTATCAAAAATAATAAACATTTCCTTTCAATCAAAGTTTCGTAGGGCTTGCCCTGAGTCTAAAATAATTTATGAATAAAGACGATTGGGCAAAAAAAAATTTTCAATTAAAAATTTTTTTTTTTAATATTAATTATCTAAACTACAAACTGAAAGAAGTGAAGTGGAAAAAAGAGTGGAAAATTATACTTTACACGGTTTGGCTTTTCCAATGGAAATATTGCACATCCTGTTGGCATATCAGAGTATTGTGTGCGATAAACAAAATAAATGAAACAAAATTAAACAATTATGTGCAATTAAAAAAATGAAGAAACACTATCGTTTAATGACTGCAAACGATAAATATTTATAAATTCCATACAAAATCATTGGCAAACAACAACAGATATCGCCACTGATTTCAATGACACTATGTAATAAAAGTACGTGCCACAGCGGTTAAACGAAGTTTGATAGGTGTTGGTCTCAGAGGTTGCATAGCAAGAAAAAAACCACGTCTGACCAAAGTTTATAATAGGAAACAACCGAGTTGGGCCAAAGAACTCAAAAACTAGATCACATATGACTAAAATAATGTTCTTTGATCGGATGAATAAAGGTTTGAAATTTTCAGCAACAAACGTTGGTTCTTTATTCAGATTCTAATATGAGGACAGAGTACTCCAGTTTATGGCTTGGCCACCTCAAAGTCTTGATTGTAATCTAATTGAACTACATTTTGATTATCTAGAATGAAAGAATGTGCAAGAAAACTCCCCAAGAGGGAAAAAAGACCATCGCTTTAAAATATATTATAACTGCTGTGTAACCGATTGTCTTTTATTAGCCAGGATATCATTAAATTTAGAGACGGTCTTATTGATAAAAATGCAATTTAATTTAAAGAACTTACTTTTGAAAAAGCATTTAAACTTTTTCTTATAGTAATTGTGTAAATTACAAAGAAAGCAAATTAAATAACTTATTTTTATTATTGTTGCTTTTATAAAGTCCAAGTTCCTTATAAAACTTATATCAAATATATAAAATTATATAAAAATTTTTTAAAAAAAGTTTTTAAATTTTTTTAACGTTTTTAAAATAATTTTTCAAAGACAAGAAAAACATTTTTTTTTTTTAAATAAAATATTTTTGAAAATGATTGACAGACATTTTCAAAAATATTTTTTCAAAGTGCCCTAACAATAGCCGGGCCTTATTAAGAGCCAAATTTGAGTCCGATTTTATTGCATTTACTTATTTGGCGGAACATTTATCTGATTAATGAATATAATTTTGTGTTTCTTTAATATATCTATGTTTTGTTCTAACGTTTATAAATGTTTCATTCAGTCTTGATTTTTAAGCAATCTTTTTTTTTTCAAAGTTTAAGTAAACATTTTATACCGTCAGTAATAATATTTGGTTTTTTCAAGCAACTTTAAGACGCATTTAAAAAATACTTTTTCAGTTACGAGTTTTTGGTATATTTTGATCTGTTGTGTTACTATAATATTATAATGTAAACTGTTTTGTTAGTCAATATACGATAGACAGAAGCATAAATATAACCTAAACTCTCAGGTTTCAAATAGGTCTTAATAATAGCCACTCCTTTGACAAATTAAGAACCACGGCTCCTATTTGTAACCAATGAGGCAGTAGTCTGACAGTACATGTGGCAAATGTGGCAGTAGTGGACTACTGTCAGGACAACCAATGTGGCTTATCCTGACAGTAGTCCTCAGATTTTTTAACAATATAATATATATAATAATAATAATATATATAACAATAAAATATAATAATATGGTAGTTGCTGGTAAAGTAATATCAGAAATTGTTGACAGAGCATTGCAAGTAAATTAACTATAACATAGTTTATAATATAGTCTATATATACAATAAATTAAATTATTGTCCTAATATTAACTATAATTATTATTTACTTTACCTTGTATAATTACTAATTAGTTTTTACTTTACAGTGTTTATTATAAGAGTTTACTGCGTTTGTAATGTTTGTAAGTATGTAATTTTATATTATATGTTTGTAAATATTTAAAATAATGGTTTGGATATTTATTATACAATTTATATCCAAAAACACAAATTATTTTTAATATTTACACTAGCTACATAATAATTTTAAAAACAAAAAATGCAGTTACATACTTACAAACATTACATAATACATATATACATACTATGTGAATATGTAATATAAATTATAAAAAGTATATATGGAATATGTAATCCTTGTAAATATGTAATTTTATATTATATGTTTTTGTATATTTAAATTGATGCCCACTAAGCATACCAATGAAATTCTACCTAAATCATATCTAGTTATGTTGCATTTAACTATTGCGCATATGTATGCTATGTCTGTTATATTGATGCATAGATATGTATGATAAGCATATTTTATGATTGTATAAGTATTTGTTTGTGACACTATGTATGTTATGATAATATATTTAGATTAGATGAATGTAAGGTCAACTATTGTAGTTTGTATACTTTATCTTTTAGTTAATTTGAGTAATTATGGGAAAAACGACAAAAATCACAAAAAAAATATAAAAAATAAAAAAAAGATAAAAAGAAGCCTTTAGTTTTAATTCAAAGTTGAGCCGAAAGGTGACAAAAGTAAAGAGATTTCAGTGGTCAAACAGCAACATGAAAAATGCAATTGCAGCTGTTCAAAATAATTTAATGTTACAACGAGTAGCTGCAGTACAATTTAGTATTCCTCGGTTAACCCTTGGCAAATATCTTAAGGGAGATTCAGTTCTTGGCGTCAAACCGGGGCCTAATCCAATATTATCTACAAATTTGGAGTTAAAATTAGTTGAATATGCAGCAACAAGAGCTGCTCTAGGATTTAGATTCGGAAAAAAACAATTAAAAAAATATATTTCAGTCTTAGCCATAAAACACAATTTAAAGTTTAAACGTTTAACTCCTTCAGAAAAATGGTGGTGTTCATTTATTCAGCGACATACAAATTTAGTTTTGTGAAAGCCTGAAGGCACTTCATCATTTTGCCATCAATGCATGTCTGTACCAAAAAAAGCTAAATATTTCTATTCACTACAAGAAGTTTTGAGGGATACATTTGCCTTTTTAAAGCCTTCATTAATTTGGAATAATGATGAGTCTGGGCTACAGATGGATTTTAAACCTCCAAAAATAATTGCAAAAACAGAATAACAAGGTTCGAAAATGCAATAGAAGAGGAAGTCGATTTTGAAATAGAATTAATTTTATTATTTACTAGAAAAAAATTAGGCACAAATAAACCTGAAAGCATTTCTAAATGTAAAATAGATAAACCTTGAAAACAAAACTGCTTCTTTGATATAGGATACTCATTTAACTCATGAGCAGTTTACAACTTTCAATTTCTGTGTTCAAAATGGCATCCAAGATCCTTTGTATAAATTATATAAAGTAATATATATTATATCAAACTGAAACAGATTTTATGTACAAATGCTATTTTAGAAACAGATGACTGTTGCAATGCCAAATGAATCCAATGTTCAGCCAATTCCTGTTCTAAATTGAAAAATTGAAAAAGCAAAAAGAAAAAGAAAATAAAGCACAACAAAAACAAGAGAAAGAGATTCAAAAGTTATCTAAAAAAGCTAACTCAGTTAAAATGAGAAAAGTCAGTTCAATTCTAAAGATATTGAAAGTCAATATCTCTTCATATAATCAAAAAATCTGTACTGAAGTACTAGAAAATATAACTCTATTCATCAATAATAATATTAGTGAACTAATTTAAATAGATTACCAATAGTTCATTATCAAAACTTCAATATATTATTGTTAAGTTTATTGTCCATATATTGAAAATTGCATTATTATATGGAAGTTGAAATTTTATAACAGCTATGTACTAAAGTTAATTTTTATTTAAAATTGATTTTATATAAAAGTAATTAAAAAGTTTCTTTTTGTTAGACTGTCTTAATTTGAATAAGAAATAAATATTGTTTAAGTTTTTTTGTTTATTATCAACCAAAATAAAATTTTTAAGCAAAGTATAGAATATTTTACTTTTAAAAAATTAGTCTTGGTACTATAAAGTAGATCAAAGTTCATTATTAGGCTTTAATTTTCTGTCTGGATAATACTTTTTATATATAAGCATTTTTAGATACGTTGATTTTAGGTAATGTAAGTGGCTCATAATAGGTGCCATTTCCTAATTTACTGGCTACTATTTGGTCTACTTAGCAAATAATTGGTTCACAACTAAAATGTTTAAATCTGTTTAAACAGATTTTTCTCTGAATGTTTTAAAACTAAAAAAATTCTTAAAAGGTGTAAGTGTTAGTCATTAATAAAACAGTAAAAAAAAAATTCACTGTAACATCAAGGCATCCTTCAATTTGTGGCCATTAATTGGTCACTTTGCCCTAAAGTTTAATCTATATTTTTAAATCAAACTGTTTAAATAAAAATACATAAAATTCAGAATATAAAATAAGGCTTTTATTTTTATTTTTTAATAAAAAACAACCTCCTTTACAAAGAGAAAGTAAACATAGCAACCGCAAGCAATGGTGCTGTTCACTCTAAAAAAAAAAAATGTATTGAAAAACAACATTGTATTTTTTCACAACAAAGTCATTATATAAATACATTTGCAGTCTGTTCATGCATTAAGCTTTCTTGTACACATAGTCAAGTAATGCAAATATATATGTTTGTTTAAAAAAAAATAGATTATGAAAATATTATGAAAACATATTATTACATTTAAAATACAGCTAAGTACTTTAAGTATTTTTAATTTATTTATGTACATAAATAATTATATACATAAATATATTAAAAATTAGTACTTAGCTGTAATTTATGTGTTATCTTATTATATAAATTAATTATCAAGTACTACAAGAAATGTCACAGAAACAATATATTACATTAAATTTTTTAAACAAAATTTAATGTAATAACTAAATTATTATAGATTAGGTCAAGGTAGAATGAGTTACTTAAATTAAATAAATAACAACAGTGGTCACTACAAAAAAGGCAACACGGCCTATTTATTATACTTTTTTGTAGATGTAATTTTTTAAATTCTATACGATAGGGTAAACTGGGGTAAACTGAACTGTTTTTGAAATTTAAAGGAAAATTATTCTGAAAAAAAGCCTAACATCTTGTAGTTTTCAAAATTTATACCATTTAAAGTATTAGCTACAACATGAAATGAAATACTAGGATTAAAAATTATTATTACAATACTAAATATATATTCAAAAAAAAAAAGTTGACTTTGCCCCCACATTGGGGTAAAGTTAATTACTTCAACTTTAACTCTTCTGTGTTTGTTATTTTTGAAATTTTTTTTTTTGTATTTTGCTTTGCTGCTTGATTTATTCTTTTAAAAAAATTTTCATTTTCTTTATCATTTAATCTTTTAAAGCCTTCATTTTCTTCATCATTTAATCTTTTAAAGCCTTCATTTTCTTCATCATTTAATCTTTTAAAGCCTTCATTTTTTTCATCATTTAATCTTTAAAACGCATCATAAAAAATTTTTAAACATGATAAATTTTAATATAAAAAAATAGTTTGCTTTACCCCTATACACTTGTACTTGAAAAAAAATTATAAAAACTGAAAAAATATGAAAAAGATGTAGTTCAATTGAAAGATGCAAAGAAGTGTAATTAACTTGAAAAGAGAGTCAAAATGAAAAATATTAATTACTAATAACAACAATATTGACTGAGGGATAGTAATAAAAGGGCATAGTCAATTTAATCAGAAATAACAAAGGTAATTTTGGAAGGGACAACAATAAAAAACAAAACAAAAGTTGATTAACTGAAGTAGCCCTAATGAAAGAAAGCAAAAGAATAATCAGAGAATTTAACCTAATTTTGTAACAATTAGATAAATTAGTACGTAAGTATATACCAGGCCAAGATTGAGACTATTGGAGTCTTTTAAGACTACCAATATCGAGAACAGGAGTTGAAACAGCTAAATTAAAATTAGCAATTAGGTCTATTGAAGTTTGCAGGAGGTAAGTGGTAAAATTAATTCAAAAACCAAAATATTAGATAATGATGTAATGATGGTTTTTTTATTTTTTGTTACTTGAATCATGTTTTAAATTGATAGAAAACTTTTTTAAACCATATATATAGCATGATACAAGAAGATACCAGAAGCACTAAACTACGCAGATGCCTCATTCTGCGTAATCAACTAAAAGTTATAACAAAAGGGTCCTTATGTGGCCTGGACAGTGCATAACAAAAGCTTCAGGAAAGAAAAACCTTCCCTGTTAGTACTCTGATTATTTACAGTCGTTGATAGAATCCTAGCCCCTCTGCCCCTCTGAGAGTTACATCAGAGTTTAGAAAAACTTACAACTAGCCAGCCTCAAAACTGTTTAATTGCGTTTTAGAGCTGTACGAAGCAGTAGGACACACTGCATGTTACACTGGAATCCTAATTTTGACCTGGCCTAATGATTTACTGAACATATTACTGGAATAAATTACTAGAACAAGTTATCACGGCATATTACTGGAACAAGTTACTAAGATATATTATTGAAACAAATGGAAAATCATAAAACAAGCCACTTGGCAGGCACTATGACAATAAATTTAAATATCTTTTAATAACTCAGAATGACGTTAGAATAAAAAACAAGATGTTTTACAAGATATTTGCTGCCATCCCCATGTAAAGTTGTATTATTCAGAGAAAATCCTATAACATTCATTGCTTCAAATTTTAAGTTATATATGCAAGAACCAAATGTGAAAGAGCTCTCAGAAAACCTCTAAAATTACGTTTAGCATCAGAAACAGAAATAAATAAAAAAAACTATTCCTAATACTTCCAAAAGTTTTAGTAAATTACATTGTTTAGCTTTTAATCCCACTTATTGCTCTTTACATATAAAAAATGCGCAGTTTGTAAATATGTTGTCAACACATTAAACACTTTATAGTATTCTAGAGGTATCTTTTTGGGATGACAAAAATTTACTTGTTGACATGTGACACTGTCTTACCATTTAAAAAAAAAATAATTGCTAATGAAAAGTGTTTATGCTTTTATATGGAATCGACAAGATTTTAGCAATGCCTGAAAACTGTTCTATCAATAGATAGGTGATAATCTGGTAATTCTAGAATAGGTGTTTAAGTAGATATGTCTCTGAAAATATATAAAAGATTAGGGCTCTCTGTTTTTGATTTTTACATCCTCATCTGGAAATTTAGTACTAAATTAATTTTATAAAATTAAACTGTGTAAGAAATATTTATTTTATTAGTTTATAACAAAAAAATAATCAGGCTTAACAGGAAGGAAAAAGTAAATAACAATAAATAACTAAATAGGCAAGTTTAGACATACCAACAGTAATAAAAAACAGAGGTGGCAAGTAAAAAGTACACTTAAAGTTTTCAAATATATTTAGAGCACCAAAAAAGACCAGGTAAAACTCTTGAGCTCTAAGGCCTAGAAACTTATAAAAACCTAATAAAAAATATATCCTCCAAAAATAACTAGAAAAAACTCCTTTAAAAAAGATTTTCTTGCTTATCTGATCCAGTATTGGATATAAAATAATAATAATAATAATAATAATAATAATAATAATAATAATACAACTTAAATATTACATACAATATTAAATATTATACACAACATTAAGTATTATAGACAACTTTGAGTATTAAAAAATATTTCATAACTTATAAAAAAAAAACAAAAAAAAGTTTCATCAATTTCTTAAAATTTAACACTTAGAAACATTTTTTTAAACATTTCTTTTTTATAAAATCTTATAAATTCATTATACACATTAAAAAAAAAAAAATTACTTGGAAAAAAATTTTACATATAATTACCTGCTTGTTAATACAGTTTTCAATAAAATTTATGCATTCTTTAGATTCTAAATCATCTAGAACACCTGAAATTTAGTAAAATATAAACTAGAAAACAAGTTTACTATTGATGTTTACAAACAAAAGTTTTTACATTGTTCTACATGAAGACAGTCTTCAAAATAATTTTCTTGCTTAGCTTGCATTATTCTCTCACAAGCACCAATGTCTGAATAAATAAGTTAATTTATTGATTGAAAAAAAGTCTAAAATGTTTATAAATGTAAATTAGTAATCTCAAAAAAAAAACTAACGCATGGCTAATGATTTTTGTTGTTGTTTCAGCATACCCAAATCTTCTGAAACAAATTGTCTAAACTCTTTTACTGTGTCTAATTGGTTGCGTTTCTAAAACAATCAGAATCTGCATTTATTATACTGACATATTAAACACGCTTGTTGTAATGATTTTTTGTCTAGTCTATAAAGTTAAAAACAAAGATTTATAGTTTGAAACTACCTCAAAACCACTTTGTAGGTGTTTCGCTCTCTGACTTAAAAGTGTAAAGACATTAGTTATATGCATACCACGTATTTCATCAAAGACCTTTAAAAAAATTATAAGTATCTATTACAAATAGAACACTTTTGACAAATTTTAATACTTTTAAAAAAAACAGCATATTGCATTATAAAAAAAAAAAAAGACTACTGCATTAAACTAATTTGTAAATATTTTAACTAATTAAAAACTCTAAAACAAATCATATGACCAAAACATATATATATATATATATATATATATATATATATATATATATATATATATATATATATATATATATATATATATATATATATATATATATATATATATATATATATATATATATATATATATATATATATATATATATATATATCAGGCCTTGCAATTTTACGTCGTCCAAGAGCGACTTTGCGTGTAGCTAGGGCTATTTGCGACGAGCAAAAAATTTTTTGTTTGAGTATATTTAAAGATATTTTTGAGCGGAATTTTAATGAAGTAATTTACGATTATTATAACATTTAATAAAGTATTTTAAAAACCACAAGCAGTTGAAATAAGTTTGAATTAAAACAAATTAAGTATGCTCATTATTTACAAGTAGAAAAAATTCAGATTAAAAAAAAAGTTTAAATCTTTTAAGCTAACATTTTAATAAAATTATTCAGCAATAGCAAAGTTGTCGATAAAATTGAACAAAATACTTTTTTTTAGTTTTAGATTTTAAACTTATATAATTATTTTACGGGGGTTTGTTAGGTTTTAAAATTATTCCATAGATTTAAAAATATTTATTAACTGTTAGACGTATTTAAAGTATTTAAGAGTAATTTTGAGGAAACATTTTAAAAATTGGTGAGCGCAAATAAAATAAAATAAAAAAGGATTAATATCAAAACGTATTCTACTTGATTCAATAAAAAAGTACAGTTATTAAAATTTTTGTAAAAAGTAACTCAAAAAAATTACTTAAATAATAACGATCGCTTTTATGTTAAAAGTTACCGAAACTCAATGAAGCGTGCTCAAGAACAGCTGCTGAAAAATAAAATGTCAATAGTTTTTCGAGTAATTTTTAATAATAATTTTTAATAATAATTTTTTCGCTGAAATATTTCTTTTATACCTATAAGATTTTTATTCTAACATTTATTTTATTTTACTAGAAATAAAATTCCTTGTTAACATTAAAAATCTATTCAAAACGTTCGTTTAAGTTTTTTATTAATATGAGTGATTGTGCTTATCAACCGCTTTATGAAAATAAATAAAAATAAATAAATAAATATTATATAAAATCGCTTGTAAAAATATTAGCTATTGCACAGTTTTTAATCGTACAATATCAAAATTTCCAGTTTATTACTCGCTGACTTTTTAAAAAGAAAAAATAATTATTTTTTCTTTTTAAAAAGTCAGCGAGTAATAATTATAATTATTTGAAATACTTTAAATTACATATTTAAGAAAAAAAACAACCAAATATTAGCATAATTTATAATCTTTTTTAAATTTAAGTTATAATGTTTTTTATTCGTTTAGTATAGACAAAACGTGACAAACGTCGAGAAAATAAACAAATGTTTTTACATTTTAAAAAACGAAATATTCCAAAACATTTTTAAGTAATAACATTTCTACATAAACGATTTAAAGTAGTTTTGCGGTAATTAAGTAAATTGGTGCAGTTAATGTCGATAAATATGAAAAGCAAATAAAAAGAATTTAATGACGTCAAAAATCACGCCGTGCTTATGCGTCGCGCAGTTCATATTCATCGCAAGGCCTGATACATATATATATATATATATATATATATATATATATATATATATATATATATATGAATAAAATAAATTTTTTATAAATAAACATTGATTTTGTATTGTTTTAAAGTAAAATTTTGTACTAAAGTAAAATGTGCTACTGGTCATATCATTATGTACTATGTATCATAACAATATATGTCACATGGCATAATAAATAAAATTATTTTATCAAAATAAATTTATAATGTTATTTTGATAAAAAAACAATTACAATTTTATAACATTAGCACAAATATTTTTTTAAACATGAACATTCTTCAAGCCTTAAATCACGCGAAGGATACTTGTAAATTATACTTAAAATAATTCATTATAATAATAATAAATTAAATCTGTTATCTCTATTTGTAAATATTTTGAAGAGAGATCTAACTCGCCAAAATATCATCCCATTAGTCTTCTTCCTATCATAAGCAAGGTTTTTGAGTTTTTAATTAACAAGCACTTTATTTCACATCTTGAATCTAATAACTTACTTTCTGATAATCAATATGGATTTCGATCTTCTTGTGCTACATTTCTAAAGCCTACAATAAAGTTTGGCATGCTGGTTTTCTCCATAAGCTCTCTTCTTATGGTGTATCAAGCCACATCATTAAGTTTATTGAACTTTTCCTTACCAATCGTAGTATAAAGGTTGTCCTAAATGGGCAGCACTCTTTATTTTTTGTAACTTAAGGGGTTCCTCAAGGTTCTATCTTTGGCCCTATACTTTTTTAATTTATATTAACAATCTCCCAAAAATTTTTACATATAAGATGGTATTGTTCGCTGATGATACTTACATTTATTATTGTCTTGATAAAAAGAAAACACTCTCTGATTGCTTAGAGGGAGCACTTGAGCTTGAAAAGGGTCTCATTTCTGCTACATCATGAGGCTCTTAGTGGCTGTTGAATTTTTACTAAATTTCCTTTCAGCTAATTGTTATTGCAACAATCTAGATTTTCCTATACTTATAAACGGTAATGTATTCAATGAGTACCATATTCTAGGTTACCATATTATAGGATCTACCGTATTCTAGGACTAACTTTTATTTACAATCTTTATTGGAAACCAAATATCAAATCCAATACAAAACTAGCAACTGCTAAGGTTGGTAATTTTTAATTGTATATTTATAAATGCTAAGGTTGCACCTCTTCATCGTGCTTGCCACTTTCTTACTTCTAATTCTATTATTTATCTCTAAAGTATGAAATACTGTTACCATATTTGGAGCAAATATTTCAATGATACCGTTTCTCTTTTAGACAAGGTACAAAAACGCATTGTAAACATAGTTGCCCTGCTCATGTAGCCAACCTGTAACCATTGTCACATCGTTGTAATGTTGTTTCTCATGTGCACTGCTGTAAAGAGCTAGCGTTTCTTTTGCCATCTACTAAAATTCATTCTCTTGTAACTTGTAATTAAATCTCATCCTTTAACTGTGACTGTTTCTAAGTGCTCCAAAAAATTCTTATTTGTCCAACTTTTTTCTCAAACATCAGTTCATTGGAATTTGCTCCCTTTATCTTGTTTTCCTGATTAATTTAATTTGCAATCTTTTAAGTTTACTGGTAATCTTAATCTTGCTCTATAAACTTTATGAAAATATAAAAAAAATTGTAATAAAATATAATATTAATACAAAATTATAAAAATATAAATTCATCTATAATATAAATTAAAATATAAAGAAATTTATTATACAGACATTTACTAACTAATTTCAAGAAGGATAATTTGAAAAGCTAAACCCAAATTAACTAATAAATTTATGGTCCCAAGAACCGAATAGTGGAGGTCAAAGCTAAGCCTTGTATAAAAACCATCCTAAAGTTTTTATGAGAATGTTTTTATTTTTAACTAAAAATAATTTTCAACCAAAAATAAAATTCTTCTTTTTCTTACTTATGCCCTAATAATTAACATTTTTGATTTAAAATTTACTTAGTTTATTTTTAAGGGCATTTATTATAATTATGCTTCCATAGAATACTTATTCTTTGTCACTTTTTCATTCTCACTTTTCTCACTGCTTTAAAAGAAAATTAAAAAAAAATTAATCAAAGTTTTCATTTATATTACTGCTGATAATGTTTATATCACAGATCAATGTCAGAAAATATAAAAATAACTAGTGATTTTTATAAAGAAAAAAGTAAGAATCTCTATATTACTATCTTTATCACACTCAGACTCACATCTGACTGCTTGTTGTCATTCTGATTGGTTATCACCATGATTGGTCTATTACAATTGCTAAGATCTGTGCAAATTGTGCCTACTTTATTAGAGGTACATCTTTTTTGGAACAATCATTATTCGTTACAATACTACAGTGAAAGATAAAATGGTCAATTAAAAAGGTTCCATGTTATTTTTGGCAGTTTCTAATAAAAGGCTTTTAAGATAAATGCAATTTGTCAACTTACCCCTGCTGCCATACAGCTGCAGTCTCTCCTATATAAATACATTATTTATTTATAATGCATACTACTTATTTATATATGATATGTTGCATATCACATAAGTTATTAGCTTATATGTTTTACATATTTGTATATGACTTATGTTGTATATTTTCAAAATGATGTTGTATGTCAAATGTTAAACACTTTATACTTGATCAGAAGACTTCAGTAGCACTGATAGTTTTTTATCTGAACCAGTTACTTCTTTGCCAAACTCAACAATGCCTTAAAATATTTAACAAAAGTAAAGTTATAAATAAAAACCTTTAATTCAAATAATATTTGTTTAGTTTTTTAGTCAAATACGGAGACAATCCACTAACCAGTTTTTATACCAAATGTTTCTGCAACTAAACCTTCATACGTTAGCTGTGAACACATCATGCTAACATAATCTATATCTAAACGAGATTAATTGAATCAATAGTTAATCATTAATACTAACACAGCTAAATAAAAGATCAACATGAAAATTTTTCTTTTTTTAATAACGAAAAATATTTTTACCACGATCAACAATAATAAAAGATCCAATTTCTGTTGGATGATTGTGTGACGGTTCATTTGATGACAAAGTTTGTAGTAAATCGTAAAGAAGCTAAAGAAAAAACTAGATCATCTTAAAAAATTAACTAAAATCTGCAAACAAATAAAATATGTTAAAGATTAGTAAAAACAAGCCGATCAAACATTAATTTACACTAAAGTAATATAAATAAAATAACATGAAAATGTAATAATAATACTTAATAATTTAATAATAAAAACATCACAAAAAAAAAATTCATATTCTATTCAATTTTAGGAATTATTTTCAAATATATTTTTATTTAAAATGTTAATTTTTGTATATGCATGCCATATAAAACTTTATCAAAAAAGCCAAATATTTTAAAATATTTTATTTTCAGAAATATTTTAAAAATAAACATTTAAAATAAATTAAAAAAAAAAAATGGAATTTTAATTCAAAGACAAATAATTGATTGTTAATTCAGAACAGAGATACGCAATGTCTTTAATTCAGAACAGAGATACCCAATGTCTTTAATTCAGAACAGAGATACCCAATGTCTTTAATTCAGAACAGAGATACCCAATGTCTTTAATTCAGAACAGAGATACGCAATGTCTTTAATTCAGAACAGAGATACGCAATGTCTTTAATTCAGAACAGAGATAAGCAATGTCTTTAATAGAACTTCAAAATAAAAAAAACTTTGAGAAAATATCAATCATTTTTTAAATTTAGAAGAAAAAAAACATGATTGAAAACTATTTTAAGTTCTTGTAAAAACTATTTTAGTGATGTTATTTGTTTAAAATTTATTTAAAGACTTCAAATAACATTACTTTTAGGGCCTTCGAGAGCACCAATACCTCACAGGTCAAAAATGAGTGAATAAATATTAGTTTAAGTAAGCTATTTAAAGCTTATCTTTATTAATTTAATAATTTAATTTAATAAATTAATATTTTCTAAAATTCTAAAAATATTTTAGTTGCTTTTGCTTGATTTTGAAGAGTACATTAAAACAGAACATAAATTAACCATCTTATAGCCTGCATCAACCAAGGGTTTGGCATGGGGCAGTAATCTTTTCTTTCATTATTTTTAATTTTTTTTTTTTTTTTTTTATCAAAACGTCATATAAATTAATGTAACAAAAATAGGGTAACAATTTGTTACATAAATACACTTTAGTAGATATATATATTTTTTAATGCTTTACTAAATTTAAAAATATTTTTTAGGAAATTATTACATAATTACTCAATAAGTATTATGTAATTATGAGTTATTCTATGCCAAAATTTTAGGATTTCAACATGGACCCTCTCAGATTTAGTGTTATTATTAATAATAAGAAACTTTTATTATTAATGAGAAAAGTAATTCCTGAAAATTTCAGCATCAAATATTTTGTGGTTCATGATACCATGTGGTTTGATTTTTCCAAATATAATAACTTTAGTAGCAAAAACATGTTTTGTTCATACTTTAAAGTTCTATATTTTATAAACAAAATTTCAGAAAACCTTCTTGTTTTTTTAATTGTGAACGACTCTAGACTTACTGTAACAAAACTTTGACATTGAATTCTCCAATGTCACATTTTTTCTATAATGGCTACCTAAAGAAACCTAAAAAAGTGTTAATATAAAAAGTTAATTTTTGATAAGTCAATATACAAAACCTGATGTTTAAGAAGTGAAAAGATATTTTTTTAGTCTCTTTATATGGTAGGCTTCCAAATTTTGAAAAATTTACTAATTCACTGGTTTTAATAAGATTTTTTTTTTCTAACTTAATAGACTTTATTACAGTGATTTCAGAAAAAAAAAATAGTGGGTACTCATGGGGAAGTTACAAAATCAGAGCAATGAAAATTGCCCATAATGCATTAAAAACAATAAAAATAAAGTTTTTGTTGTACTTTAGTTTGTATTATATATTGTAATACAAAGTATGTATGAATTTAAAAGTATTTCATAATCAGGACTAGAAATAAGTCTTTAGTTAAGCCTGAATTAAACTCAGTTTTTAAATGCTCTAGCTCTTTCCTGCACCCTCTTTCCTGCACCCTCTTTCCTGCACCCTCTCCCGTACTTTTACCTTTTAACATTTTTTCCCAGAACTTAAAAAAAAATTGTAATTGAACACTTCTCCTTACATGGTGTGTCTGGTTTTATGTCTGATGTATGAAGTGCCTTTATGCCCTAACACACCACTAAACATACACATATAAAAACTGAAATTTAGTTTTTAATATTTTCAAATGAAACTTATTAGTAGCCTATTAGGTAAAAATGAAAAAAAAGACTTTTAGTCTAATTTACCTAATATTTAATATCATGACTATAAATTTTATAATATTTTTCCAATACATTCACTATTCTATCCCTACCCATTAATTTGACTTATTTGATTACCATTTTCAAATTTAGATTACAACTTATATACCAAGTTATGAGTTATTTGACTTGTCATTATGCACAAGTTGATTATTTAATAAAGAATATTATTGTATAATAAACAATCAATATAAACATTGAATCTTTTAAATAAATTTATGCTAAAAAACTGTCCAATGAAATAATTCAGTTTTTTCTTGAGCTGATAGTTCATACCATTTACAAATTGTTGATTAAACTTTCAAAGAAAAAAATAATGCATAAAAAGTGCATTATTGGAACCCAGCAAATATCTTCATTATGTGTCCAAGTAAAAATGTTTAAGGAAATGCTTCATGATTACTTCATGAACTTTATAAGAATATCTTGATTTTCTTCAGATATTTCCACAATATTGACTTATAACCATTTTGCATCATAAACACGTGCTATATTAATTCCTGGTGAATAAGAAGTAACTAAAACTATATGCTGCATTTTAGGAACATTTACATTAGTATGCATATTGTAAACTGACACCCCTCTTGTCTGTAAAGTAGATAATGATTGTAGTATAAAACAATGGTAGTTTCTTGTTCCTGGAATTGTTGAACAAGTAGCATAACGTTCTTCTAATTTAAACTCTATGCAATGTAATACAATTGCATCATTTGAAATGTATTGAAAATGCATTCCTCTGATATTTTGTCTACACCAATCATACATTTTCTCAAGTGAATTGATAGGATCTGTAAGTGATTGTAAACTGGCCTTAGCTACAAGTCTTTTGACAGTGCTCCCAACGCCATTGCACATACCCTTTCCATGTGATGTAGCAAAAAAATGCTATTCTGCAAATACTTTATATTCTAATTCATGGTGACATAAGTTAGATATATTTTTATAATTTTTGTATTGTGAACCTGCCCTATCACTAAAATAAATGCAATTGTTAAAGTAAGGCAACAATTCTTTTATTTTATTACTTCATAAATGAAACAATGATATGTAATGTATTGAAAATGCATTCCTCTGATATTATGTCTACACTAATCATACATTTTCTCAAGTGAGTTTGTATTGTGTTGCAAAGTTGCAAATGATCTGAAATGATAAAAACACTTTTACATTTTATCATATCATATAGCAAATAACAAAAGGATGCAATATTGCTTGACTGTTGTTTGAATGGAAACCATTTTCTTGAATCTTGAATTAAAATTTTTAGCAAAGTCTAGTAATACTAAAAAATAATTACTTGGTAATGTTATTTTTAAATGCTGCAAATGTCTTCAAATGCTGCTTGATTTTTGGCTATATAATAGTGGTGTCTTAATTGGTCTATTTGGTGACATGGTTTTTCAATAAAATCATACACTGGAAGAGTTACTGGAACTATATCATGTTTTTTGTTGGTTTTTTGCCACTGATTAAAGGTGATATCTTCCATGCTGTGTCTATCAAACTTAAGTAAACAATAACTTTATTTTTATTTTTTTAAATGCATTTTGGGCAATTTTCATTGTTCTGATTTTGTAATTTCCCTATGAGTACCCATTATTTTTTTCTTCTGAAATCACCCTAAAAGGTCTATCAAATTAGAAGAAAAAAAAAATTTTATTAAAACTATTTTTGATCCAAGGTTATCGGTGGTTTGAAGTAGAGGCACATTTTCCTAAGTTTTAGTCACAGCCATTTTTAGAAGTCTATAATTTTTTACTGAATTGTATCTTATCAGTAAATTTTTAAAAATTTGGAAGCCTACCATATATAGAAACTTAAAAAAAATATCTTTTCACTTCTTAAACTGCAGCTTTTGCATATTGACCCATCAAAAATCAACTTTTTATATTTCCAAACAATTTTTTAGGTTTTTTAGGTAGCCATTATGGAAGTGTTCAATGTCAATGTTTTGTTAAAGCAAGACTAGAGTTGTACCTAATTAAAAAAACAAGAAGGTTTTCTGAAATTTTATTTTGAAAATATAGAGCTATGTATATAAGTATATATAATATAAGTATGAACAAAACATGTTTTTGCTACTTAAGTTTTTATATTTGGAAAAATCAGAAATTTCAAATGACCATGAACCACATGATATCATGAACCACAAATTATTTTATGCTGAAATTATCAGGAATTGCTTTTCTCATTAATAATAAGAAACCCACTAAGTTTCGTCAAAATCTTGGAGGGTCCATGTTGGACCTTGGTCCAGTTGGCATGGAGTGACTCTAATGCAACAATAAAAAAATCAAAAAATTTTTATTCATTATTATGTTTTTGTAGGTGTCTTTAAAGAAAAAAAGTTTGTTATTGAATATTTTTTTAATGTTTTGATATAAAAAATTGTTCAAATGACCAGTACAAGAATGTCACTAAAACCATATTAAAAAACTGTTAAAATAGACAACAACAAAAACTTATAGAGTTATAATAACTTTTAAAAAGATATTAAAATTTTTGGTTTTATATTTTCAATTATAAATTTTTTAGAAATAAAATATAAAAGTTAATCTACTCAAATATTTATTCTAAAAAAGAAAAAAATTTTTATTAAGCAATATTTTTTTTAGTTATGTTTTTAACCTTTTAGTATGTAAAACACAAACTATAAGAATGTAAAACACAATTTAGTTAAATACTCTTAGAAGAGCATTACACCGCCCATGCACAATTATGAACGGTAGCGTGTGTGTGTGT